TTTCGCGGAGTTTTTTCCTTTTTTGCCGACTCCCTGAATAACCCCATTATATCCAATTAGAGGAACCGTTTCATTAACAAGTTTACCGTAAATAATAAGGTCAATTTTCAGAATGGAGGCATTCATGGTATCTTTTGAACGTCAGAAAGATGCGAAGTTCTGTATGTATCGAGAAAACATCCCGAATTTTGAATCGAGTAAGTTGTTCTTTGTGATAAATATTCGCATCAAATCAATATCCGTTGTTTCAGCTTTAAGCTCAATAACCAAATCAACGAATAGCATTAAAATCCTGCTTGAAGACATATCAAATGTTCAGAAAGTGATAACAGATCCATGTGAACAATCTTGTTCAAGTTGCTCACCAAACGTTTTGAACAAGTTCCTTGGAATTGAAGAAAAACTTGTCAATAATGTTGAAATCCCTGATTCCGTGCCTCAAAAGTCAACAAGGCCGTGTCTGGACGACGAAAAAGAAGGAAGCTCTGTCGTCCAGCCGCCCGAAAGCGGGAATCGGCACGTACAACTCATTTCTGAGCAAGAATTCAAGAGTATTCCGAAATATCAGCTTGGCCGGCTAACATTGGATAATTTGAACGAAATCGTCGGAAAAATGGATGAATTCCTAACAAAAAAGAACGCAATTCTTGGGAAAACGAACAAGCAAATCACAAGACAAGACAGAGAAGTTTTGGATAACTGGAGAGAACTGGTAAGCTGTGAAAAAAAATCGAATTCTATCTTGTGAAATATACGTTTCTGTTTTCAGGAGATAAAAGCAAAAGGTCGTCTCCCAACTACGTTATTCTTCATAGAAAACGACATTCGTCCCTTGCTAACTGAGCGTCTTCGGCTGTCCTTCGCAAAAGCTATTCCATGCTTACGCCATATTCGAAGAGTACGAGAGGAAAGATGCGGGCCGCTCACATTTTACTATGCATAATCCATTAATCTCAATATACTTTTATTCAAATTGTTCGGGATTTAATATCTATTCATTTGTATTTATTCATAAAACATATATTTTTAATCAACCATTAATACTTGTGTGAAGATACCTATGAATCGGTTCAACTTGATATCTGCAGAAATTTTATGTCTTCGTCGTTAATCAATTATTGCAGGAAAAAATGTCTTCAACTCGTCCAACAGCACCACCACCTCCTACACCAAAACCAGGAAGAGTGAAAGTGTATCGAGCGCTGTATGATTTTCAAGCCAGATCTGTTAGTTTTAAAATTTATAATTTGTATGGATAACTCTAAGATTGATTTTTAATGCTATCCTAACGTTTATTTTTAGTTGGCTAGTATGATAGTCGGAAAAATCATAAACCACCGGTTTTGTTCGGAAAATTGAAAAAAATACCCCCGATTATCACTATTTTATTTTAAGGATGAAGAACTGGCATTCACAGAAGGAGAATTGATGTATGTCAGCGATGAGCAACCTAACAAAGACTGGTTCCAAGCAAGCATTGGTGGCAAGAAAGGATTAGTTCCTGCGAATTACGGTAAGCACAAAGATTTGAGAATATTTGATCAGGTTTTGAAAAAAATCTCCACTTCAGTGATAAGTGAAAACATGGAAGAATTGCCGAACCCTCTACATGAAGCAGCTCGGAGAGGAAATATGGATATGCTGGCAGAATGTCTTCGAGAACGTGTTTCAGTCAATTCACTCGACAAATCAGGTTCGACGCCTTTGTATTGGGCTGCTCACGGCGGTCATTTAGCTGCCGTAGACATGTTGCTCAAACAAACAAAGGTCGCAGTTTCAGTTCAGGTGCTGTTCTGGCTTTTTCAGGTGGGAGCATTTGATACATTTGCAGAACAAACTTGGTGACACACCACTCCATGCCGCTGCCTACAAAGGGCACACAGAGTGCGTGCGGTTACTTCTGGAAGCCTCCGCGAATGCATTCATTAGGAATCAGGACCAGAAACTACCAATAGATGTTTCAAAGGTGAATATCAGAAACATGACCTTTGATGTTTATTATTATTAGAGAAAGTATGCATATAAGAAATACAATTGTTTTGACAGGATGCTGATATCTCTGCCCTACTCGACAAAGCAATGAAGGAGAACAGGGTAAATGAGCAAGAATATGCTGAGTATTTGTCGGATTCTGATGCTGATTAAAATGTATTATAATAATCATCATCTTAAATTTTGTGCATATCAAATTACCATGTGATAAATAAATTATGATTTTTTTGCAATTCCTCTGATTCTCTGATTAATGGGTCCAAATGCTCATACTGTATATCTATGTCTCCGTGAAAATTCCACCTCACTTTCACCGTCTCAATGTCGTTCAGGGGTTTCGCACTGAACACTGTTCAATTTTCTAATTCTTAAAACTTTTACTCTATTGCGCAGATATTTATCTAGACAGAAAAATAATCAAATATCATCGTTTATTGAATTCACATGTAAACATAGTCAGAAGGTTCACTAGTCATGTAGTCATTCGTGTAGATGTTTGGGCTCTGTGCCGCATATTGATGATGAGAAGAGATGGCATCAGTTGAGTGCCACGCATATTGCGATGAGTGAGTGTTTGGAAGTGCAAAATACTTCTGGTTGTCGAGAATCGATGTACTCATGTTCGCCTGACTTCCCATTTCGAGCTCCTGAGCTTCGACACAATAATCGGACGTAACTTGATTCTTCTTCTCGAAATGAAGTTGTGAGTTGACGATGCGAGTGATGCTGTCGTCGTTGAGCGGCAAATCAGCAATGAAATTCGCTATCTCCTGAAATTCCGATTGTAGTAATCCAGAAATTCGTTCAATGTACCATGTCATTCTCAGTAATCGGAAGAGCAGCTGCGTCACTTTCCAGATTCGAGTCCAAGTAGAAGCTCTCGACGTGTGCCATGCTAAAAATAATTAAAAAACGTTCTCAAAAACATATTCTTACTCTGGGCCTAGTGATTCTTTCGATGCGAGGTAGCAATGACAGAATCTCTTTCTGAGTCTTATCTTGTCCGATTGGAAAGAGTGTTAAGGATCTAGGTGTTCCCGTTAATATAAATTTTCGTTCACTTATTTTCCGATGTTCTTAAAGTTTGCGTGTGACCTATTTTTTAAATTTCAGATGACAGAGGAATGGGTTTCGAGAGTATTAGATGTATTTATTCAAACTCAGGCAAATAAGTCGATATCCCTGACGGATCATTTGCTAAAACTCAATCCAGATAATGTTGAAATATCGAACCGATCCCAGACGGAAACACGAAGAAGGGTTTACTACACAAAAATCGTATTCAAGAAAATTGAAAACGAGAAAAGTATTACAATTATTTTCAAAGGTTCAGAAGATAGGTAAGATCAAACATCTGTTTTTTTTTTTCATTTCACTAATTGCTTACGGATTCCAGTTTTTGGAAATTGCAACCAAAGAGTTCGGAAAGTTTAGCTATGCTGAAACTTAAGATGAACGAAACTTTTGAAGCGAACAAATCTAGTAAGTAACTACGTATGATAGTCTCTAATAATCACCTATACTTTCAGGAATGGCAATACCACATAGTGCGAGTAAATCCAGACAAGTTCCGTCACTCTACAGTGAAAATTCAGCAAATAGGTTGGTTTTGTTTTGTTTTGTTTTAAATCTTACAATACATAAAACCTCACTCGCTATTGAAAGTACAAGAGCATTTTTCATCGTTTTTTGAAGGGTATTTATAGTTCATAAAATGGTGTAGCGATGTAGCGATTAACTTCAGACATTCATTCAGTCACTCTGAAATTTGATTGAAATCTCTTTTCAAAAAATATGTTCTGGTTGTTGAAATTCGGATAAAGTTCGTTTCATTCTAGAAACTGCTATCCAATGTTTCAGAGAAGATGGGAATTTGAAATACAAAACGTTTGATTTCAGGACTATCAGAGAATTGGATAAACATTCGGAAACTTCTCCAAGTATACGCAATCTAACTCCATCAGTCTCCTATAAATACCAACCGACTGTGTCCACCCTCAAATCCACCTCGTCTCCGAATACACCTAAAAGCATTCACAGCGTTCCTCACACATCGTCAATCAATTCCAGTTATTATGTTCCGGATAAGACAAAAAATTTGCCAAAGTGATTTTTTAAATTCAGAATTAGATGCATATACTTCGAAGGATGTTCAAGATAACATATTGACTATTTTGAATTTTTCCAGCTCGTCAACAACTTATTCACAGAACAAAGAATATAAACCGTTGCAACCAACAAGAAGAGTTTATGACTATTCATCGAAGCAGAAAATTTATTCATACCGCAGGTTTTTCTTTGCTTATATTTTGATAATTTTTCTCAAAATTCTTATTTTCAGTTTGCATAACATCAAAAACACTTGTTATTTCAATGCAACATTGCAAGCCCTCGCTTCATGTCCGTCAATGGTTTCTCGATTTCATCAGATGTCGTTAATTATGGAGAGAATAAAACTCAGAAGTTTCTATAGTGAAAATACCGACATAAAAAACAAACTTGCATTGTTTGTTGGGTTCCAGAAGGTTTTCATGTTTTTGACTAAACCAGAAAAGAGTACAGAATCTTTTAATAGAGATGTGAGTCGATTTGCATTAATTCAACTTTTTCTTAGTTTTCAGGAACTCAAACGTATTCTTGAAAACCTGAACAAAGTTATCTCTGGCTTTATCTACGACAAACAGCAAGATGTTCAAGAATTCCTAGATTTTACGTTCCATGCAATCGACGATATAATGAAGAATGAAATGCCACGGAAAGAAGCTATTGGTGATGAAAGTTCTGTGTTTTATGGAGGCAGCATTGCTTCATTGAATCCTCTTCTGCCAATGCGCTACTCCATTGAATCCTCTAAAAGCTGTTGTAAATGTGACGACGAAAGCACAGTGATTGCAGTTGATCATTTTCTCCGTGTTTCTATGCAGTGAGTTTGTATAAAGAGAGGCTTACAAGATTCCCAGCAGTGATGTTTGGAATGGTCTTTTCGGAATTGCGGAAAAATCCGATTTTAAAAATTTTGGAATTTCGGAAAGTTCCGGTTTGCGAATTTCAAGTAGAAATCCCCTTTTCCCATCACAAAAGCCCATAAACGGTAAAAAACTGAAATATGTTCGGAATTCCGTTCCGAAAATCCCTGGTCTCACCCTATGAAAAATTATTCCCAAAATCTGCGGGGCCCTAATTAATAAATTTACATGATTCAATTTCAGGCCTTCTGATGGTTTCACTTCAGTAGAATTAACTGATTTGATTACGAATGATTTCAAAGCAAAAAAAGTTGAACGAGACTGTTCAAAATGCAAATGCGAAAGTGCCATTAGCAGAGATCGATTCGTCACTTTTCCTCAGTGAGTTTGGTTATAACCAAGTACAGTCCGAAAAATATAATTTTAGATGCCTTGCTGTACACCTGAAACGTTCGTGTCGAGATGAAAATCAGACTAATTACAAAAATGAACATGACATCAAAATTCGTCTCGAACTGGATCTCTCGAAATATTCCTCGTTCTGTCCAATCGCGGAAAATGCAAATACATCGTCTAGTAAACTTTCTGTCAAAAACTTCAACAGCAATCTCGAAAAGAATCATACTCCTCTAAAAGTGCTAGGAGGTGCACGAGAAGTCTCACTGGACACTGAAGAAGTTCAGTTCGACAACGAGATTATCAATCATTCGTTGCATTTTAAGCCACTGCGTTCTTACCCGAACATAGTGAGGATGTTGGAGGAACTTGACATTAAATACGACGATGCCATTTTGAGGTGATTTTTTTTTATTCCGACCTTCGTATCTGGCTTTCACAATGAGAGACAATCAAAAAATTTTCAGAACCCACGTCAAAAAGCTCGCGAAGATCAGACCATCTGACATGACGAAGAACGACGAACCAGACCAAATCCAAGAAATTGAAGCCGATGGTAATTGCTTTTTCCGTGCCATCTCCTGGTGTTTAACTGGTTCCGAGGCACATCACAAAAAGTTACGGAGAGCAACTGCTGATTATCTTAAAGATAATAAACCAGCTCTGAAAAAGTACCAAAGTAACTTCGAAGCACATGCGAAGAAAATGAAGCAGAATGCAGAATGGGCGACTAATTGCGAAGTTGCTGCCATTTCTAAAATGCTGAGTGTAAACATCTATACATATCTGTCTAGTGGTTGGACTTGTCAATCCCCATCAAACAACGAAGTTACTGTCGTTGGATCAATATATTTGAACAATGTTTCGGAGCACTACGAGCCGGTTCTATCGCTGAGAAAAGGACAATCCGAAGCCCGAAGTATCAGGGCACAAAAAAGGTCTGCTCCTGATAGTGACGACGAGAAGAGTATGGATGATAACGATGAATCCTTCAAGCCTGCTAGACCGAAAATGAATGGAGATTCTAAAACTTCGAGAAAGGAAGCATCATCCTCGAAAGGATTCGTGAATGATAAGAAAACAAATACGGTAAATTGATCAACTATCCGAACATTATTAATAAAGATTCTCAGACGACGAAGGACAACGAGCTTGCTAGTTATAACCTTGTTGCTGTCATCTGTCATTATGGGCCGTCTGTTCTCGCAGGACACTATATTACTTTTTCGAAAAGCATCTATTGCGATGAATGGTTGAAATGCGACGATGAAACGATTACGCCTGTTTCTAAAAATACAGTTCTCACTGAGGCAACGTCTGCTGGCTACCTCATATTCTATGATCGAAAATAGGACAACTCAACTACGTTCCCATCTTGTTACTGCCTACATTAAAATTGAGCTCTGTTCCTTTAACTTTTTTGCCTCCCGTTGTTTGCCCCATCTCTTTTTATGTCAACCGAAACATTTCGAGAAAATCTAGAGAATGTGAAACAGAACCGGTATTAAGATCGGCTAATCGGTCTTATACGTAGTATTTGTTAGTTTTCTTGAAAGTATTTTGTAATGAGAAGATCTTTTGTCTGTTGAAATCATTAAAGAATTGTTTTGCTGTAAATTAAAATTCCTGTCCTCACCTCTAGAAAAACGGATAAAAATCACTAAAACCTTATTTGGGTTATTCATGAAAATGTAAAAAATGTAGAGGAAGAAGAAATGCAAAAAATTCCTCGAAAACGCAGAGAATGAACCAACCTGGCTCAAACTTTGGAGGAAACAGGAGAAAATCATAGGGAACATATTCACAAATTATCCACTTTGAAAATTTGTCTGAAGTTTCAGCCAAATTTTCAAACTTCTGTAAACGAGTTGGAACAGGAAGGAGATGAATATTGGTGAAAATCATCATTGGGATCTCGAAGCCGAACGATATGCTTCATTTTTTCTGGACTTGTGTTGCTGACCATTTCTTCAAGAACCGAAGTAAACGAAACGTTGAAGGTTCCAACTCACTATCTTTGTTCGAGATGATCATTTTATTGAATTCGTTTAATACCCATTCCATGAAAAGGTGATGAGGAGGAGAGAATGCCAGTTTTAATGATCTGAAAATAGCCATTTTTTCAGTTAACTTGGGAATATATTATTCACTCACACAAAACCAGTATCGTTTCCTTCCACAAGACCAATACTGAGATTTTTCGAGTTCGATCTCATCTTCAATTTTCTGTACTGTAATTTTGAGCAGTGAAACTTTATGGGTTTCTCATCACTGTTGGCAGCGATTGTCGTTTTCGAAACTGAGCCGCCGATTTTCGCAACTTATCAGTTTGCCTCCTTTTTTAATAAAATTCACCTTGACAACGAACTCTTCTGTCATCTGTAACAAAATGTAAAATTTTTTTGATTAAATAGACTATTTTGGGAAGCGAAAATACATATTGTAACAGAATCACCAGAAAATTTAGAAGAACGATGATGTTTTCAAAAAAAAAAAACAAAGCCTTGAAGATGGATTTGTTTAAAATTATACCGTAAGATTTCTTAAAGGCGCAGTTTTATATTTGCAACTGCGCTGTGAATCCATCAGCAAATTTGACCGGACACGCCTTTCAAGCATCTTACGGTTACTTGAGGCGGAAACCCCGGAAAAAAAGAAACTCCGCGAAAACTCGGAGAATGAACAAATCTGGCTGAAATTTTTTGGGAAATTGGAGAGAACCTATTTATAGGGAACATACTGCGTTCTCCGAGTTTTCGCGTAGTTTTTTGATATTTCTTTGGTTTTTGCCTCCCCTGAATAACCCCATAAATGGAATGGTTTTCTCGGAGTTTTCGTTTGCAGCTAGTCATTGTGCAATGCATTTGCACGCTATGTATCCAGTTTTTTCTTAATTTTTCAGGTTGTTATGTTACGATATTTCTTTTCGCTTCTCAAAATATTTCATTCAATCGAACACTTGACAATTTGTTACAGATGACAGAAGAGTTCCTTGTCGAGGTGAATTTCGTTAAAAAAGGAGGCAAACTGATAAGTTTCAAAAATCGGCGGCTCAGTTTCGGTAACGACAGTTTAGTAATACTCGCCGCCAATGATGATCCCTTGAAGTTTCACTGCTCAAAAATACAACACAGAAAGTTGAAGACGGGATCGAACTCAAAAAATCTCAGTATTGGTCTTGTTGAAGGAAACGATACGGATTATGTGTGAGTGAAGATCTATTCCCAATTTAATTCAAAACATGGAAAATCGCATGTTCAGATCATTAAAACTGGAGTTCTCCCCTCCTCATGACCAATTCATGGATTGGGTGATCAACGAATTCAATAAAATGATTACCTCGAACAAAGATAGTGAGTTGAAACCTTCCCCATTTTGTTTACTTTGGTTCTTGTAGAAATGGTCAGCAACACTGCAAAAAGAAAACAAGCTCCAATGCTGTGTACGACCAATAACATTCTGCAGCCAGTTTCTCGAATAAAGCCACTGTTCAATGAAGAAACGATTAAAAAAGAACGAGACTATATTTTGAAAAGATCGATTACCCCACAACTGCCAAGGAAGGAAAATTTGCACGAAGGCTCAAACCCGATGGACGAACTTTTCGCAAACAGCGACCCAATAATTCATACTCCCAAAATTGAGCAACTCGAGGAAGTAAAAGACCAGCCGTTTGATCTGTATTAGTAGGTTCCATTATATCCCGTTCGAAAATTTCGGTGTTCAGAGTGTCAAATGAGTACTCTCCACAGCCAGGGAAGACCGCTTCCACACTTGTGAGTGTAAAGACTTCAAGTCCAGGAAAAAAAGAAAATAAGGAAAACCGTACGGCTTCGAGATCCCAAGCGTTGTTGTTTGATGACCAACCAAAGAATAGGAAGAAGAAAGATTCTTCACCTGATTGGCAGCCATCTGAAGAGTTTTCACCGAAAGGAAAGGGTCCCAGCTCCCGGAAGGATGATTTTCACCAATACCCATCGCCGTCCAGTTCCACCTCATTTACCGAAGTTTTCGGTAATAGAAAGTAATCTGATACATTCCAAATACTTTTGATAGAAATTTATTTCAGATTGGAAAACATTGGAAATTCGTGCTATTTCAATTCAACACTGCAGGCGTTGTCATCATGTTATCCCTTCAGCTCGCGGTGTGTCCATTTGAAACGGACAACTAGTTTCGAAGGAAAGTTATTCAAAACGAAAGAGACCGAAATGAGCACGAAATACGAGTTTTTTCAACTTTTCATAGGTCTAATTTCCTATCTCAGCTTGACAGATGATGATGATGATGTGTTCTCCAAAAACTTGCCGACAAGAATAAGTCGTAAGGTAAAAACTATAATAACGAATATACAGTTCATAGTTGTCAATCTTCCAGAAACTAGAGGAATTCCGAAAAATGATTGGAAAAATAAACACAATTTTGGATAATTCCCTCCAGCAAGACGCTCATGAGTGCCTAGGAACTGTACTGGAAATAATGAATGATTTGTTTCAATCCAACCGCACTTTGGTAGGACCGCCGCCTTCAAACATCAATGTTTCTCGGCTCAATCCAGCAGAAGTATTCAAATTGACTATAGAATCGATGTTGGTGTGCCAGCAGTGCAATACGGTGGTTTTGAAAAAAGATTTTCAGAATGACATGAAGCTTGACGTTAGGTGTGTTATTTTGTCCAATATACGGTTCTCATATTCCTTCGTTTAAGCGACAATTCCTCCGTACAAGATTTGGTGAATTCGTGGGGGAAGTGGACTTCAGTGGAAAGGAGATGCTCTCACTGCCAAGCAAATGTATCTTCAACGAGTGAACGGATTTTTGAGTTTCCGAGGTATGTATACACGTCTTCCTCCTTTTGTTTATTTGGTTTCCAGCTCTCTCATCATCACCTTGAAACGCTACAATTATGAGAGAAACGCTGTCAAAAAGAAGCATTGCTCTGTTGAAGCGTCATTCAATATCAATGTTTCGTCGTTAGGAGTTTTCAGAGATGTCGATCATATCCATTTAGAAAAGCTAGACATTGACGAATCTTCGATATTTCCCTCGAAGCCGTTTAGCCCCAGCGAGAAAGTCATACCAGACGATAGTCAAGAAGAACAGACCCTGAAAACAACGTTGCCAGAGTCAACCTCAGAGAAAGATTCACAAAACGACATTGTCATTGAACAAGTGACCACACCGAAAGAACTCGTTTTTGATCTTCTCACTGAATGGAAAACAGTTAAAGGAATTCTTAAACGGTTGGATATCGATCATGCTGAGGAGAAGTTGAGGTATGGAGAGAAAAATGAATTAAAATTCGAAGATTTGCTTGCAGATGTCATCTAGAAACCCTCAAGCATGAAAGCGGCAAACAGATGACACGCACAGACCTCCCAGGAAAAACCGCCTTCATTTCTGCAGATGGAAACTGCTTCTACCGAGCCATATCATGGTGTCTAACTGGTAGTCAGAGATATCATAGGAAGTTGAGAATAGCTACGTCTGAGTATCTCAAGAAGAATGAAGAATCAATGAGGAAGTTTTGCGGAGGGGAGCTCGACTACAAAAAATACGTCGAGAATGTTAGGAAAGATGGAGAGTGGGCTACCTCGTGCGAAATTTATGCTGTGGCCAACTTGCTCGATGTAGAAATCGTGACTTTTCTAGGAAGTAGTGGGTGGAGATCCCACGTCCCTCACGACGGTGGTTCCTCAAAGGAGTGTATTTTTCTCAGCAACACCAGCTGCCACTTCGAACCAACCACTTCATTGAAGCCATTCATCGCAGAAAAGGAAAAGGATGAGAAAAGCGAGATCTATCAAAGCAGTCGGTCAGACTCACAATGCAACCAAAAAAGATGCCGAGGGGAGAGTTATTCAAAGGACACAACTTTAGCTTACAAAAAACTGAAGATTGATAATACACCGGTATTTTTGCATTAACATATTTTTTCATAAATCATACTTTCAGGAACCGACTGGACCTAACTACTCCTTAATGGCTGTTGTTTGTCACTTTGGAGAGTCACCGTATGACGGTCACTACGTGGCCTATACCAAGAATTCATCAAACGGGGAACAATGGGTTTATTGTTCAGATACGGAAGTGCACGAGGTCAACAAAGACGCCGTCGCTAATGCTATACGCTCTTCAGGGTATATTTTCTTCTACGATCGGAAAAATTGAGCTGTCCTTTTATCTTGTCTTATGCACCCCCGCATCGAGTTTATTTATGATTCAGTTCTTATTTGCTTTCATCGTATTTCAAATAGTTTATTTTTGCTTTCATCGTATTTCAAACAATTTATTTTTGCTGTGTAATTCAAGTATAAATGTCGTTTTTGTAAATAAGTTTTCCAACTACTGTCAAATTTTTACAAAATAAATGAAAGCCAGGCAACGATCAAAGTGACACCTCCCAGAGGTGTGTATTTTCTGGTGGATTCCACTCCTGTGATGCTGTAATGGTAGCATGGTCCACAGAAAAGCAGAATTCCCACAGAGAATAAACCGGCTGTTGCAAGAGGAAATCTAGCAGATGGAGATGACAAAAGCGCCAGCGAATGAATCAAATGATAACGAGAAGCTGTGTCGAACGCAGTTCGGCGACGTTCTTCAATCGATGGATCATCACGAAGCACTGAAATTTTGTCTGATTTTTGATAACTCGTATGAGCGTGAACTTACCATGTGAGCCATATGCTCCTAGAGAGATAGCAACAGCTCCTGAAAGGCCTGCAAGACGAATGAATGGCGACATATCCACACCTGGTTGTGGAAGAAGAGCTTCAATAGTTGGGGAAGAAGCAACTGTTGGGAAAAGTGCCGCGAATCTTAAAATTCGAATTTGCAATTTTACAAATCTACATATCGAAACCTTACCTTTTGATCGGAAAGAAATCAGTAACTGTGTTGACAACGTCAGTGATAACCTGGGCCATGTATCTGAATGTTGAACGTTTCTGCTCAATAATTATAACCAATAGGGAAATAAATAGTCGGCTTTCGAACTGTTAACACTTCAAACAATAACATTCAAGAGAGAAATCTTTAAAATATAATTTATAAATGAATATCACAGAATTAAAGTAATAAGCACCTGATAAATTACATAAGCTCGTTATTTCCTTTGACTAAGAATTGAATTCAATGTCGATTGTCGTTTCTCAAGAGCACCTGGCTGATTGGACAGTGTCTTATCACTACGAACTGATAGAGCAAGAAGATAGTTGAGTTCCGTGGCGCTGAACAGCGATCTGGAAAATGAAGAGAAAACGGATTTATGAATTCGTCGAGAGCTCACCTCTTCTCTGGAACAATAGCCAGAATGCCGTCCGGTGTGTTATCGAGGAGCAAATCGAAGAAAGCTCGAGCTCTATCTAGATCCGATTCTCTTCGGTTTGTGATTCTTGATAATCTTTGTTGAACTCCCCATACATTCCGACATACTCGTTTCTTGGCGGCTTCTGTGAGACGTGGCATGAATTGACTGCAATCTTAGAATTAATCTTCGTTATATTATTGTTGTGCGAAAAAATTGGAGTCGAGACGCAGACAATTGAACAAAAAATTTCTCTGCGTCTCCACCGAGTATGTGCTATTTAGGCTTGCCGCTTCGAGGTACATACCGTATTCAGACTGCAAAAAGTACTCTCTAATGGGGGTATTCATGTAGCGAAATTATGTATTGAAATGCATTTCGGCGCCCTCGAAATTCAATGCAGGAACGTCGCGAAATGTATTTCAAAGCATTTCGCGACGTAACTGAATATGCATTGAAATACATAGCGTGGCGTGATATTTTGTCTGGAAAATGTGATGCACCTTTAAGCTTTCTGAAGGATCGTGCAAATTCCTAGTCGTTATAGATTCATTCCTAGTCGTTATAGATTCATGTATGGTCGTTTTCCGGAAGAAAAAATGTCTAAAATGGTCATTTTTGAAAGTTTTTTACAGAAAAAATCTATCTCTCTTGCAGTTTTGACATTTCTAGGAGTTCTATAGCTCAAAAAAACCGCAATAATTTTCTCTACATTTTCTATGAACGAATTTTTAATTCGTCTGATAAAACTTTTTTATAGTCAAAAAACAACGCAAAAATGCTATTTTGTGCAATTTCATGAGGTTTTTGAATTATAAAAAAGTTTTATCAGACAAATTGAAAATTCATCCATAGAAAATGTAGAAAAAATAATTGCGGTTTTTTTGAGCTATAGAACTCCTAGAAATGTCAAAACTGAAAGAGGAGATAGATTTTTTCTGTAGAAAACTTTCAAAATGACAATTTTAGACATTTTTTCTTCCGGAAAACGACCATACATGAATCTATTGTCTATTCAAAATAATCGCGCGAGTGAACGAGTGAAAACGTCTGCGTCTCTACAGCGCCTCTACAGGTTTGGAGACTCTCTACACGTTTTTTACTTGTTCATCCGCGCGATTATTTTGAATAGACGATATAACCACTAATTAATTTTTTAAGAATCATTTGAATCATCTTGGAACTCCACAAAATCAGATAAAAAATTCTGAAATTATGGTTTTAGACCATTGTGATCGCGCCAAATTTTTTTTTCTGTAGATCAAAATTTAATTTGAAGTTCGATAATGTTTTGTGGGAGACCGGGCAGTGTGGAAAAGAAAAATCGAAAAGTGAGGAATGGAGCGATGAACAATTAAAAATGTTGAATTGCGCCGAAGGCGCAACAGCCAGCAGGCTGGTATTTCATATTACTAGATGTTCCGTTCTGAATCTCACCTATAGTGTATGAATAATGAAGCGCATAAATGACCAAGACCATCGAATACGTATGATAATTTTGATGACGATAAAACGTCCTTCAAATTATCATGAAATTGGTGTAGATCTTTTCCAAGGGCAACAACTTCTGGATCGACTTCATTATTGGATGATGTGTTGCGATACTTGACCAGTGGTGCGAGATGGAAGAAACAGTGAACACGGATTTCGATATGAAGAAGAAGCAGACAGGAATCAGCAATTGATTCGAGACGACGAACACAATCCTCGATAGCAGAAGGAACAGAGTTCTGGAAAATGGGAATATGATTTAATTATTCAGATACATTAGAAACTGAAAGATAAGTACAATTGTTTTTCCTTAACATTATAGGTCTTTTTTGACAAATAAAAACGTACGTTATCGATCATTTGACCATCTTTAAGCTGAACTTGGACCATGCAAGTGTCTAGCATCAACTTTACAGGAGCAGGAAGTGAATAAACTAGCTCACGAATCTGAAACACGTTTCTTTAAAGTTATCATTTTATGTAGACCAACTTCATCGCTGAACCACCGCAAGGACTCGTGTAGACTCGCAAACATTTTGATATCGTTCATATCCGTTATCAAGTTGTTCTCATTCAAACTATTTTGAGCCTGGTGTCCAAGATTTCCTATCAAAATTTCCGATTCTTTTTTGTTCCTTTCTCCAACATCTTGTTCACTTTCAACTGCTGGAGTCATTGGGGACATGGAAGCAGTGTGCCAGTTGGGAAGACTCATTAGAAGACGTGAAATATCATCATCGGCTGTCCATGCGGCTGATATCTTTTGACAACGCGTGGGAGCTGATTCAGATGATGGCATCGATGGGTCTGCGGTTTTTGGAGTCATCTGGAAAATATATTAGCATTCGTCAAAAGTGACTGGCAATTGTAAGACATGCCTTTTCATATACATCCGTCATATTTTTAAAATAATCTGTGAGCACGAGAATCCATAGAGCCGCAAAACGATCTGCATAAAGCTCAAGGGAGATTATCAAATCATGAATATCCTTGCATAGAGTCAGCACTTTCTCGCATGATGGTAATATCTTCTGAAAACATTCAACATTAGATATCATCAAGCGAATACAAATACCTTATTGCTGGAAATCCTAACAGCTTCTCCACCTCTCAGGGCTCCTTCTATTCGTGATGCGAGTTCGCCTTTAACTCTTTCAACGAACACTCTCATCACAAAAGAATGCATAAACCGCCGCAATTCGCATGGAGAATCATTCATATTCTTTTCGGTTGTTTCCATGAGACGACTGAGAATCGGGAAAATCACTTTGATATTATACGCGGAGGGTTTGCAAATGACGGCCTTTGCCTAAAAAAAGTAATACATTTATTCGAGAAATATGAGATGAAATTGATAGAAAGAATGCGGGAAAGAAAATCTACGAATAAAATCTTTCAAAATGGCTGGTGGACCAGCTATAGTCCAAGTCAAGTGTAGGGGCGAGGGAATCAAGAGGAATTTTTCCCAAACGTCAATTCCTCCGGACTAAGCCTAGACTTGATTATTTTACACACACGGTTCCACAAGGACAGATATTTATGCAGGAAATAGTCAATATAATGACCATTAATTTTGTACATACAAGGGGCTCTGTTTGATTGACTGAGTAAAATATAGGTTGAAATAAGAACGTTCAATTTGAAAAGTTGAAAGCGATAGGCTCACTTGATGGCTTGAAGAAGTTGTGTTCGGAGCCGCGCATGCGGTGTTTTCAAAGCGAAAAAGTTGCTTTCTTCCGACAGATCCCATCATGTTTTGTTTTTCTAAAAGTGGATTGATGTCCAGGTGCTCGGAAACCACAACCTAAAAAGATTGATATTTTTGATTAGAAACATCCCAGAATAAATACCTCAATAGCAGATTGGGCGGATCTCCAAAAAGAAGTGAGAACGTCGTTTCTACCAAGTTGCTTCTCAACAAGAACTCCGAACTCGGCATGCTTCTGACTAGCGGAATCAAATTGTGCTGATAACTGAAATAATGAATATTAGGTTTTTATCTTTGTTTAAAGTCACCAGTTGCATAAGCTGCTTCAAGTGTGTCGTGTCGCCCTCATTGCTCTCATCAATACCTGCACCAATCTTCATCACCTGGACAGTATTGACAATCTTAAAATGAAATTCATTGATTTGGCCAATTCGATCTTAATTTCACCATTTTGTCAATCATATTCTTCCCCAACATCATCAAACGATCTACATCCCAATTTCTCTCTTCCACAGTTCTAAACAGTGTAGATAGAGCGTATACTGAAGAAACAATTCTTGATTTTCCCGTGGTATTGTGGAATGAAGATACAGGACTAGAAGCGCTCCGAGATTTGGTTAATAATGAAGAACAATATGGGTTTTGATTAATACGATGCTCCGGTATAGTTCGAATGATATGGAGAAGCTGTAAATACGGTAACAGTTTGTACTTCCTTCTATTGAAATGTACTCACATGTTTCTCGAATGGCTCAACAACTAACATATTAACAAGGGTATCATTGATTCTGTCGATGAGAACTTTTGTAAATCTTTCGATTTCCGCAGAAAGATGCGAAAGTCCCTCGACTCTTGCCAGACGGCCATTTATAAGCTCTCCTGAAACGAGAAATTTCTGTACGAATCTCAGTGTACTTTTATTTTTCTTCAAAAGCAAGAGAAAATCTTTACGACGATATTACTCTTGTCCGAAATAAATGCACGTTGCGGCCGAGAAAACAACGGTGGGCGGAGCTTAGCTCCCACAGAGAGAACTCCACTGTATTTTTCAAATTATAGCACACGCCTTCAATACAGTACCTCAACATTTATTGAATTTTTGCCTTTTTCTCTTAGTTTTTCGCTTGTTTCTGTCTGATTTTATGTAATTCTTATAAATCTTTCATTTTTTTGTCTTATAAAATAGAAAAAAACAGCCAAATAGGGCCCAAAATAAAAAACGTCCGAGATACTGTATTTAAAGGCGCATGCATTCATTTGTTGTTTTCGCTGTGCGACCGCTTGGGTTCAAGCGAGGGGGTCAGAAAAAGCGCCCCAGCAAACTCGTAGGTCAGAAGAAATTTAATAATTTCAAAGTGAACGCGGGTTTGAACTAGATCATGATCTATTTCTTAAAAATCAACTGGTTGCAACGCGCGTATTTCTCTCATCGTTTAAAACTGTGATACTCAGCCAACAAAGTTCGGCAGCGAATTGAGAATTTTTGAAAAATTTACTGGGGCGCGTTTTCTGACCCCCTCGCTTGAACCCAAGTGCGACCGACGATGTGTTTTGAGTAAATTTTTGGCCGCAACGTGCATTGATTTCGGACGAGAGTAATATTTTCATAACGAAATACCGCAGCAACTTTGATCTATTTCTTCGCCGGAAAAACTTTTTGACTCACTTGATTCAGTCACCGTATCTGCTGCCAGTTGGTACTGTTCTTTGGAAATTAGATTTTCAATTTTTGATGGTGCCTCTCGGAGTTCTTCTCTGAATCACAAACTTTTATGATTTGTTTCTTCTATTTCCAACTCACAGTTTAGCCATTATATCGCAAACTGACTTTTGTTGCGCATTTTCATGCCAAAGCTTCTTTAAGTCGTCTCTTCGTAACTCCAGTAAACTCTTAACGGTATGAAGAGCATTCCGGACGTTGTGAATTCGTTCTCGACAGTCTGGAGATTGTATTAATCGTGCAGGATAAAAAAAAACAACAGTCTCACTAGAAATGTTGGATGAAACATCACGAAACGAGACCAAGCATTTCTCTACGTCTTGCTGATGATCTGGATTTTTTTTTGTCTTTAGGGAATGTCAAAACAAAAACTTGCCCTTAACAAGTCGATCGATGCGCGCTCCTGATTCCTTGTATCCCTTTTCCAGTCTTGACTTTTCAGCTTCTCTTTGATCTTCCGAGACTGACGAGGTTAATGAACGAATAACATTGATAAGAAGGCCTGTCTCATTTGACTGAAACAAAATTTATAGAGTTTTTTGTGTCTATGTTTGCGATATTCGATATCAGCTTACGTTTGATGTCGATCTATCGGCTGGCATCGGACGTTGTCTTCTGGCAGCTGCTACCGGAGCATATCCACCACCATTCATCGTATTGAAGTATTATTTTTGTCTTTAATTTTTCTCGAGAATCTTGATTTGTGGTCAATTTTCCTCGAGACACGTTCGCGATCGGAGTGCGAGTAAACAAATTTTTGCAGTGGCCTAGGTTTCGCTTTTAGACGGCCGGGGGACGCGAGTTGCTTGCAAGCATGCATGAAGAAGATTTCAGTGTAAAGCATGATTGCTGTTTTTCGCATGAACACAAACCAAATTAGTTCCTTATTGATTCCAAGAGATCTTTGTTATAGCTGCAGATGGTTATTGGTTAATAATATTGAGCTATCTAGAAAAGATCTCTTTGTTAATCGTTTAAACAATTTTTAAACAATTTTTTTTGAATATTTGTATTCCAGTGATTTCCCGAAGAGTATTGAAGACGTTTTCATGACGACACTGCGAGCGACCAATTCCTCAGAGTCTTCTGAAAATCACACTCAAGACGAGGAAGTATGTTTGCAATTCACAAACCTGATAAAGTTCCATGAAAATTTGCAGCAACGCGATGGCTCAGATGTAACGGAAACTGGGGACTCGAGAAGAAAATCAGATAAAAGTGAAAATACTTGTCTGTCAAGCACAGCTACCACAGTTACGTCTGCAATGGCTTCTCAATGGCTGAATCATATGAAGCGAACATTCAAGAGACATGCGATTGCACTTTCTGAAGAGCAACAAGTGATTCTCAAAAAGATGATTAATGATGTAAGAATTTATACTTCCCGGCTTGCTCCTCAAATGTTCGCTAATGGTTCGAAGAAAAATAGAGCTGCAATAAACATCACCTTGACATAATTCTTACCTACACACATGAATGATTTTTTCAGGAATTATACCCACAACATGCTTCACCTGAGGTTCCTATACGCGACATTATGATGCTGTATAGTCGAGGCCTAGAAGCACTTCATGACGGACGTTATCGGGAGACCTTCGATCGTATCCGGCCGTGTATTCCATACCTGAACACGAATGTTCTGGTTTGGATCCGAATCTCAGAATCACTCATTTTTGAGTTCTATGAGGTGAATACCGCTTAAATTACTTAGACAAAAATAAATATTTAGGAAGTTTGGGAGTTCACTGATATTTACACACGACTGTTCGAGAGATGCCCGCGCAGATATCTTCCATCCATCCGTCGGCGGTGTAATGAACTTAGGCAACGACATGAGGATATGACCATACAATATGCTGAACTTGCTACCTTAATGATGTTTTCATTGGCGAAATACTCTATCCGAGAGCCTGTCCACTTTGCTGCGGCTTCTATTCGAGGATTCTTATTACTGAAACTAAAGAAATATGCGTAAGTGTTTTTTTTTCTGGAAACATCATCAAATCCGTTTCTTGTGCAGAGAGGCGATAGAAGTTGTTGACTTCGTGATAACGAAATATGACAGACCAGACGAATGGAAAGACAACTTATCTACCCTAATAACCTATAAAGCCGAAGGAATGCTAGGAATAGGCCGATATAATCGAGCTATCGAATATTGCCTGCGGATCATAAAGGAAACAAAAAGTTGTCGGGCGAAACATCGTGCTATCATGCTCATTGCAATGGCGTATATGCGGAAAAGCAACTTTAAAAAAGCTCATGAATACGTCCTCGTGAGTTTGAATCTATCAAAGAATAGGCCAAATAACAATAAAGTATATTTTAGATGCTTCTGAAGGAAGATAAACTCGATGAAAATATGATGGAAAATGTAGCTCTTCTTGGACTTAACTTGGCTCATTTGATGGGAAATAGAGAATTGTTCAAAAAGTTCGAAGAGATGCTCCAACGAATCGTTTATTAATAATTAATAATCTGACGGTCAACTGCTTTGATAATAACCTGTTTATAATCGCAAATCTCAAGATTATCATTATAATCATTATCCTCTGATATTGGCAAGACATGTTTGTACTTCGTTCTTTCATTTTTTTAACAAAAATAAAAAAATGTTCACGATCTGGATTGATAGTTTGAATAAAAAGAGTCGGCATCGTTGGGTTCGTATCCCGTATAACATTTATATTTTGCTGCTTTGACCATAGAATTCAAGACTCAAAAAAGAAAATGGCAGGTGTTGTACATAAATGTGATGATCGGGCACCGTCTGGCATTATGGCGATGGAATAGGAGTTATACAACGTATGAAAAATTAACATGAAATCAAAAAACATGGGTTGTTGCAGAGCTGTTGCCAATGCTGATGTCGTGGTTTGTGGAGGAGGAATATCTGGAACCTCAATTGCCTATCATTTAGCAAAACGGGGAAAGAAAGTTGCACTGGTTGAAAAAGATTCGTATGTGTTTCATAAAAGACATCGACTGGGTTTGAAGCGTCCAGCGCGTCAAAATTCTGAATTTTCTTCTATCTGTCATTAAAAAAACGGAGCTGTGGTAGAGAAACGCCGGTGGCCGTGGTCGAAGGTCCCACAGCAACAACTACCGTAACCTACAAAGCATTTGTAATTTCAGAAATCAAGTTCTCGTTTTTAACTGCTGAAAACTCGACGAAAAACAGTGAACAACGAGAATTCAGATCCGGAAAATAATAATTGTTTTACGGCAGTTGTCGTTTTGGGACCTTCGGCGCACAGCCACCGACGTTTCTCTTCTGCAGCTTCGGTTATTTTCGAGCCAGAAAAATATGAATCAGCCGGCTGATTTTGAACTTTTTATAAGTTTGAAAAATATTATAATTTTTCCCTTGTTTCGCTTATCCAAAACTAACTTTCAGGATAGGATGTTCGGGAGCCACTGGACTCTCCGCAGGGCTAGTCTCTGCACCGATATTTTGGCAGGATACTAGTCTTCAGGCGATCGCACAAGCCTCTCTCGATCTGTATTCTCATTTGGCCAACACTTGTAAATTTCGTATGTCCTTTTCAGATAATTTTTTTAACTATCATTTTTGTTCAGGATACGTTAAATGTGGCAGAACATATCTTGCTTCTAGTATGGCTAATGAAATACTTTTGCGGCGAATGTATTCGAGAGGTGTCGTGCATAACGACAAAGTGGAATTGCTTGATTGCCAGAGTGAGATGCTAGAGAGGTGGCCGTTTTTGCAAACTGAAGATGTTCAGGTAACGACTATGAATCACCCTTCTAATCATAAAAGTTCTTCAGCTGGCCCTCTACTCTCCTGAAGATGTCGCCCTGGATCCTGTCGCTCTTTGCCAACATCTCGCACTGATAGCTAAAGACCATGGTATCGATATTTTTGAGAGATCCTGAAGACATAAATTACATTTGAGGTGCTCTGATATACGAAAGTAATCCAGTTCTAGAAGTGCATATCGGAGATGAAAAGCAGGTTTATGGTGTTTCAACGAAGATGGGATTCATTGAGACTAGTCATTTTGTGGATGCTGCTGGAATTGTAGGCAAAGAATATGATTTCAGATTAATCCTTCATAGATTTTTAGTGGGCTGGTAGTCATCTTGTGAAAGCACTTCCTCACCAGCATATTCAAACAGCCGCTTATCCATGTACTTATTCTTATATTCATACCTCAAAGTTGCCTACTGGATCGGTTAGTGATATGACACCTAGTAAGTTACTGAATAATCTTTTTTCTGCTAAAAGTCATAGCTTTAGTTTTCAATGATCTTGACGGAAACATCATGCTTCGAACAACCTCATTCAAAACATTGTGTGCTGGATTCGCGGAAGAAAGTGTTCGACCACTAGCCAGGCAGACTGGTTCTGCTGCTCCGTGGCAACATCCGGAACCGGATTGGAACATATTTGGTATCGTAACCGTCTACATGGTTGTGTTTTTAAAACTATCATTTTACAGACTCCAATCTTGAGAAGCTCATTTCACGGTGTCCGATGCTTGGTGATTGCAACCACGGTGACTTGATTGTTGGAATGGAAGCATACACTCCTGACAAACTTCCGACGATCGGTGAAAGTTCTCAAGCAAAAGGTTATTGGGTCATGTGTGGAATGAATGGTCAAGGACTATCATTGGCTGGTGGACTCGGAAAAATTCTCGGAGAACTTATGTGTGAATCGCAGAGTTCCACGGCCGACGTCGCTCGTGTTGATGTTGGAAGATTCATTGACTTACATGCAAACAGTCAGTACTTGATAGGAAGAACACCCGAAGTAGCTGCATTGACTTATTCAAATCTATACCATTCCCATCAGTGCCATACGGCTAGAAATCTACGCATGGCTCCGATTTATCATCAGTTGAGAGATGCTGGTGCTATTTTTGGAGAGATTATGGGCTATGAGCGGCCGTTGTGGTTTGAAAAAACGCCAAAGTCAGAAAGGAATGCATTGATGAGTGGACAAGATTCTCTAGTTGGAAAACCAGAATGGTTTGAAAGGGTCGCCAGTGAATATGAGGCTTGTCGGGAACGAGTCGGTTTAATGGATATGAGCAGCTTCACAAATATGACATTACGGTTAGGGCTCACAGTAACAATATCATTCTTTAATTTTCACTTGCAGGGGGAAGACGCTGTTGAGTATCTTCAATTCCTGTGCTCAGCGAACGTTGACGAACCGATTGGGACAACAGTTTATACAGGAATGCAGCACCAGAAAGGTGGCTACGTCACTGATTGCACTCTCAGTAGACTTGGTGACAAAAAGTTCTTTATGGTTGCACCCACAATTCAACAGGAGCGAGTGCTTGTCTGGATGAAAAAATGGCAATCCATTTTAAAAGCTCGGGTTCATGTTCAAGATGTCACTGGTGCTTACACTGCTCTTGATCTGATTGGACCATCATCTCGTTATTTGATGGGAGATATCACCGGATTGTCCATGAGCAGTAATGACTTCCCGACGTTCAGATGCCAGGAGATCAATATTGGAATGGCGACTGGAATAAGAGCGATCAGTGTTACTCATTGCGGAGAACTTGGATGGGTCATATACATACCGAATGAAGTGAGTTTCATAGACTCAGCCAAAGATAGATAAGCACTGGAATTGATTTCTAGGTGGCCCAGAATGTCTACGAGAAAATTCTGGAAGCAGGAAAGGAATATAGTCTTCAACATGCTGGATACTATACTCTACGACAACTGCGTATAGAGAAGTTCTACGTGTATTGGGGACAAGATATCAATGCGACTGTAACACCAGTAGAATGTGGAAGACTCTTCCGAGTCGATTTCAAGGTTCAAATCTCCTGTTTCTAGATTCACAAGAACTATTTGCCTTCAGAAAGATTTCATTGGTAAGAAAGCACTCGAAGAACAGGTTGAACGTGGTGTGAATAAGCGCTTCGTGCAATTGCTTGTTGATGGGCATGATAAAGAAACCGATCCATGGCCACAAGGTGGAGAAACTATTCTCAAAGATGGGAGACCTGTTGGTTTGACAACTTCTGCTGCATATGGATTCACATTGGGCTGTCAGGTACTTTTTTTGGGCCGGGTTTCGATTTTCTGCTATTCAAACTTTGGAAAAATTGTTTTTCATCTCCTGTTAGTTCTTGTTAGTTGCTCGTAACCCCACTGAATCTCTTCAAACGACTACGGTAAATATCTACAAGCATGTTGAGTAACTATCCCATTGTAATTGCAATGCATTGTTCAATTACTCTATTAGATTGTTGTTTTAGACTGACAGGAGCACCTGCTAAGTGCTATCTTACTGAAGTGACATCCCATCCATCAAAGTCTCCATTAACACTGTCACGTGTTTCTTTATTGTTCCGACTTTTAGACTTCTGGGAAAGAATTTCTGAACTTCTGGGAAAGTATTCTGAACTTCTGGGAAAGTAGACAATTGAAAATTGTAGGCGATTAGATACTGTCATCTGGAAGGGGATGATGAGGTCATTTAGCACTCTCCTAGCCGTCTGCAACCGTAATAGCAGGTGATACATCGCTGGGAAAATTGGATGGGGGAACAAACAACGGGGGATCATGGGAAAGAGTAGAGCTCTGAAACATGTGCAAAGTAAATTGGACACAGCTAAGTCTAGATGTAGAGATATGTTCTGGGGAATAGGAACAGGGGCCACTGATTAGAAACAGTTAAAAAATTATTCTTAAGTTTGCAATGAAATTCTTTTTTGAAGGTTTGCATTGGCTATGTCGAAAACAAGGAGTTCGGAGTTTCGCCTGAATTCGTCTCATCGGGACATTTCGAAATCGATATCGCTGGAAAGCGCTTCACATGTCGTCTCAACGTTCATTCACCGTCACTTCCAATGATATCCAGTGAACATCCACTTCATTACAGACCCACACAGTGACCAATCCTTGCCTATCATACAGCGAATTTTCCGATGAATGGTAAAATGTCTAATTAGAAGTTTAGGCTAACTAGTTGAATTTTTTGTAATTCACATCTGTAGTTTATTATTTTCCCCATCACCATAGAGATTCCATATTGCTTGTATTATATTTTTTTTTCTATGTCCTCTTCCACCCAGTGTGCTTCTTCCATTTCTACATAATAAACAGAGACTTTGCACTCTCCAGTTTCTACATTATATCTCCCAAGAACAAGTACGCAGCGCGGCACCGCTCGCATCGCACCGATCAATTTTGGCCGTTTTGCGACGTCGCGCTTCGAGTTTAAAAAAACAAGACAACGAACTATGTTCATAACTTTGATTAATAGGTGAATCACATTCTTGTATCATGTTCTTATCAGAATTTCGAAGAAAAATCTAGGTTTTCCTTGAAGGATTGATTAGGATTCAGAATTGGTTTTTCCAGAGTTGCAAGTTTTCATTATCTTAGTCCCTTCTCGTTTTCTCAAGTTTCTATAGATTCTGGAGTATTTCTTGCAGCTTCGAAAATTCCCTTGCCACATCAAAATTCGCCATATATGGATCAATGGAACCATCCCAATCATCAGAATCATCAAAACCTTCAAAGCCATCCAAACCACCTGAATCAGAATCAAGCAGGAACAATTATAACTGCCAATTCGCCTATGTCTCATTCCCACATGGGACATGTCCCGGTCAGTTTGTATGAGACGTTTGAAACACACAACAGTATCTTTCTACAGAAGGAAGAAGTTCAGTACATCATGAGACAAGTGACAGATAGTGTTCGCTTTGCAATGTGCGAAGCTATTAGACAACGATCTCTGCTCTGGGATTCGTCTCGAGAGAAATGTAGCTCAGCCGCTAGGAAAAGACTTTTCGGTGAAGTTGTAGATGTCATCAATTCTCAATTTGTATTGAATCCACCAATATCAAGTGAGTAAAATTTCGAGATTCAACTCTCAAAAACTTTCCCTGAAAAAGTGGGTGGAGGCAAATTGCAAGCTACGGTTTTGTAGCACTTTTTACAGTTTTGGATGCTATCATGAAAAAACTGTGTGGCAAAACTGTAAGCAGCTTTAAAATTAGGTTCCGCCCACTTTTTACCGGAATCTAAGCGACCCGAAATATTCACCAAGCTATGTTTAGTGGAAGAAGTTGAAAAACACTGGAAGAACCTGAAAGACACATATGTGAAGACCCGTCGAAAGTTAACATATGATCGAGAGGGATGTTTGAACCGACCAAAATGGAAGTTTTTCGACGCGCTTTTGTTTCTTGACACGGCGAATCATCATAATTCCGAATATATTATGAAAAAGCGGTCTCTATCAATGCCGTTTCCAAGTTCTTCATTCGAAGCTTACCACGGAATACCAAGTAAAAAAGAAAAACTAGAAGAAACACCGACCGACGAATTCATGGAATTCTGCAGATCTCTCTATCTCCCTCTCAAGGAAATTGGTTTGAAAGACAAGGTTCAATGGCTTACACTTCAGAAAACTATTAGGGACATCATTTACAATGCCCAACTAGAAAATATTAAAGGTCCACCGAATATGTAATAGGTTGAATAAAGCTCGTTTTGAAGATATGTTTTCAACAATTTATTGTAACAATAAAGAAGCACTTAAGCGCTCTCAGATGGAACACTGAGAATGATGTCAGAATCTCCGGCATCAGTAACAGCGAGGGTGCATACGCGGAAAAGACGTCCGCAAGCGGTTCCCAATTCGATGTTGTTTCCGTTGTAGTGATGGACTCCAGTCTTAGCGAGCATGGCGTAGTATTCGATCTCGGACTTTCTGAAATGCTACATTTGATTACTTCTACGAAATTGCTTCACAAACCTGAGTGGTGGGGTGTTGTTGGCAATAATAACAAGCTTGGCCTTTCCGTTGAGAAGAGACTTGAGGGTCTGCTTGTATCCGAGAACGTACTGTCCGTTTTCATGACCATAGAGAGGCGAGAGTTGATGTTCTCGGCATTTTTCTTGACCTGGAATTCGAATGTTCGGAAACACCTCTCATTTTCAGCAGTTGTTTCGAGCTCTTACGTTGAGCACCCAGAGCCTGTGACAGAATGAGTGGGGAAGTTACTCCTTCTCAATTAAATCACGAGCTCCGGATCAGTCCATCGCTGCTCGAAAATTTAACTCCAGAGAAACTTCACTAACCTGTGGCTTAGCAGCTGGAGCCATGATGATTTTACCTGCAAATGGAAAAAATAAATGCGTGAACTTGATATACCACGTAATTAGAGCAACAGACGAACAATGAATATACATATCCAACGTTTTCACGACAAGAAAAAACTTCTAAATATTTCAACGTCTCTGAAAATAACCGGGTGAGGACTAAAATCACAGAAGAAACTTCTCCCAGCTTTAAACTGATAAAATTAACTTTTCAAAACTCTGTAGTGATACGAAAAGGAAGAGAAAAACTGCAACAAACGCCCGAAAATTAGGGAAAAAGCTTTTTTTAGGAGCGCAAAACGGCGGGATGCAGTGATGACTACGGTCAGCGGCGCTTTCGTTGCGAGACCCATCGAACAACCCAGCCTCCCTTTAAACATGTGTGTCTCTTTTTCCGGTTTTTGGGATCCGAGTTCTCCTGGCTCTGAGCAAAAGGACAGTAAATCCCAATTTAAACTGCTCAAAAACCCATAAAAATTTAAAAAATCTAAAAAATCACCAAAAAAAATTCCCCTTGCCGATCCGACATCAAAAAGTGAGTTTCATTGATTTTTCACCATTTCGAAAATCGATATTTCCCTGCTCGCACGCTTTCTCGCAGCTGTTTTCACTTTCCCACAATTATGAAATTTCCTTGAATGAATAGTGCTTTTTATATTGCGCTGAACGGTTTGGCTAAGCCATAATAAAAGATATATGAGACAGCTGCAATCTTCCCAGGAGCATCTTCCAGGCGGAGTCCCCTGTAGTTGTCCCTTTCTGTTGTAGGCGGAGTCTACCGGTAGGGACCGTTCCGCCCCGCCTACTAGCCTAAATAGATCATCTACTGTTTTCCATTCATTCAGCGTTCAGTTGGTCAGCTGAGCGGTTTGCGTCCCCTCCCTTCATATTCCTAAACCCCTATAAAATCCGAGTACGCTGGTCGTTCGGGATAAAAAAAGTTAATCACTATTTCTTATTATCTACTTCAGTAGAACCATGGAAATGAACGTCGCTACTCCTGCTCCTGCCGTCGCTGGCGCTGGTGCCCCTCAACCAGGACAAAATCCAACTGGCTCGTCTTACACCATGGCGTCGCTCTACGTTGGAGATCTCCACCCGGACGTCAATGAGTCGATCCTCTTCGAGAAGTTCAGTGCCGCCGGACCTGTTCTTTCTATCCGTGTCTGCCGAGACAATGCTACACGTCTTTCTCTCGGATACGCCTATGTCAACTTCCAGCAACCAGCTGATGGTAAGAAGAAATGAAACAACAATATCAAGTTAAACTTTCGTTTTCAGCTGAGCGGGCTATGGACACGATGAACTTCGAGGCTCTCCATGGAAAACCAATGAGAATCATGTGGTCGCAGAGAGATCCAGCTATGCGCCGATCTGGAGCTGGAAACATCTTCATTAAGAATCTCGACAAAGTTATCGATAACAAATCGATTTACGACACATTCTCGTTGTTTGGTAACATCTTGTCGTGCAAGGTAATGTTTTCTATAGAGCAGTCGAAAACCGCCTTGAATTCATGTTGTACAGGTTGCTATCGACGAAGAGGGATCCAGCAAAGGATATGGTTTCGTCCACTTCGAAACTGAAGAGGCTGCACAGAATGCTATCCAAAAAGTCAACGGCATGCTCCTTGCTGGAAAAAAAGTCTTCGTTGGCAAATTCCAACCACGTGCTCAGCGCAATCGCGAGCTCGGAGAAACAGCTAAGAAGTTCACCAATGTCTACGTGAAGAACTTCGGAGAGCATTACAACAAAGACACTTTGGAAAAGCTCTTCGCCAAGTATGGTACCATCACCAGTTGCGATGTCATGACTTCCGAAGGCAAGTCTAAGGGATTTGGATTTGTCGCTTTTGCTGAGCCAGAGGAAGCCGAAGCCGCTGTTCAAGCTCTCAATGATTCACCAGTCGAAGGATCTGACTTGAAGCTTCATGTTTGCCGTGCTCAGAAAAAATCCGAGAGACACGCTGAGCTGAAGAAGAAGCATGAACAACATAAGGTTGAACGTATGCAAAAGTATCAAGGTGTCAACCTGTATGTGAAAAACCTCGACGAGTCGGTGGACGATGAAGCTTTGAAGAAGCAATTCGAGTCTTTCGGAAACATCACGAGTGCCAAGGTTTGTTGAGCTGTTTTCAAACGCCCTTATTAAAAATCTTTTCTTCAGGTCATGACTGATGAGAATGGAAGATCCAAGGGATTCGGATTTGTATGCTTTGAGAAGCCGGAGGAAGCCACTACTGCTGTCAGTGAAATGAATTCCAAGATGGTCTGCTCGAAGCCACTCTACGTTGCTCTTGCTCAACGCAAGGAAGACCGCCGTGCTCAGCTTGCGTCGCAGTACATGCAACGTCTTGCTAGCATGCGAATGCACACTAATGTCCCAGGAGGTGGCATGTACAGCCCTGCTCAACCAGGACCAGGATATTACGTTGCTAACCCAATGCAACAGCAACGCAACTTTGTTGGAGGACCACAACTTGCTCGCCCAGGAGGACGCTGGGGACCACAAAACCAATACCCTGTCCAAAGCCAATACATGATGGCTCAAGGACCAGGAGTGTACCAGAACCGCATGGGACGTCCACAAAACCAACAAGGTGGACCACGCGGGCCACCACAGCAGTACAGTCAGGTCGCTCAAGGAGGAGTTCGCATGCAAGGACCACCACGTGTTCCAAACGCCGGTGTCCAACAGCAAAACGTTCAGCGTCCTCCACCACAGCAACTACAACAGCAGCAACAGCGTCCAGCTCCATCCGGACCAAAAGCCCCACCACAACCATACAACCAACAATACCAGCAACCAAGACCACAAGGAATCGTCATCGGTGGACAAGAGCCACTTACAACGGCTATGCTGTCCGCTGCTGCTCCACAGGTACTAAAAACTATTTTTTTTCAACTTAAAATTGACGTTTTTCAGGAGCAAAAGCAACTTCTTGGAGAACGTATCTACGCTCTCATCGAGAAGCTCTACCCAGGACACAAGGATGCTGGAAAAATCACGGGAATGATGCTTGAGATCGACAATTCTGAATTGATCATGATGCTCCAGGATAGTGATTTGTTCCGCTCCAAGGTCGACGAGGCTGCCTCCGTTCTCGCTTCTGCTCAGAAGCAATAATTTTCCTATTGATTGTGCTGCTGCACCCCTTCACTTGGCTCAGCCTAACCCTTGTTTTTTTCTATTGTCCTTCCCCCTTTTGTTACTTGTTATGGTTGGTTTAGCCACCTCCACACCCACCATCCCCGAATAAGCTCACTTTGTGTTGTTTGTTCATGTTAAAATAAAAATATTTAAAAAATCAACTCTTCAATCACATCATACAGAATGGTTTTCTTGCAACAAATCGGTTCATGGAGCGCAAATCGGGTGCCTGGGAAGCTGATTAAAAAAATGATTTGAATTTATTAAGGTCCTTTCTCATGCTAATCCGAACATCAACCTCTGAGCCATTCAATCAAAACCTAATTTTTCTATATGGTTTCTTCCAGCTTTCGAATGATACAGGGCTCGTCCCAAGTTTCCACACCCCAGTTACAACCTTCTTACAGTCGAGGCAATTCACTGGTTTTTTTCTATTTTGCGAGATTTTGAACTAGCTTGCGAATATACACATTTCAATAACAAAATCTTGAGTTAATGTTAACATTTTTACGACAACAAATTGTCAGTTATTTTTTCAAAACCGCAGCAAAAACCGTAATTTTCATCTGAATCAATTATAACTTTTATTACAACACTGAAAAATGTTCGGAATAGCAAGAATAAAATTCCAGGTTCAATCTAAATAATGTTCGTATTGAGCAGTCATTAGTTCTCGTGTCAAAAGCCTTTCAGCCTTTCAGAAAATTTCGTTTTCAATACTTGTATGTTCAAATGTATCGATCAATCGTTTCGTAAGATCAGTGTTCGGTAGGAATGTGAATTATGAGAATACATTATTTATTGGAACTAAATTTTTAGAATAATAATACTACAGTTCATCATGTAAGTTTCTTTTCTCGAAATTCACATGGTATTCCTTCTTCTCTTTTTTCACTTTCGTTTGTCGAATGTTCAAGAAAGCATCTGCCTGCTCTGGTCGGTCTGGAATTTGACTGCAAAGCCAACGAGTTTGAGGAGTGTCTTTGAAATCTGAAAAAAACCATCAGGCTTGCAATATATTTCCAGAATCGTCTACTAACATTCTTGGCACATTTCTCTAAGACAATGGAGGGCATTCGGCTGTTCATTCAGCTCGCACCATTGAATTTCTAAACTACAGAATCTTTCTGGTCGAGTGATTACGGTAGCAACATCGATGATTTGATAAAACTTCTTTTTCATAACATTCTGGCATCCGTCATAGGTGAAACCACGTGGGAAGAGTGTGATATTGAGACCTTGAAAAGCAAGGCAAAGTTCTGCACACAAATTATGGAAAAGGTTTCCTCGGAGCCAGTAGTAAACTTTATCAAGCATCGCCGGTTGGAGAAATATTTTATGTTGAAGGACATTTGTGATTGACATACACGCTGTGCATTCAAGGCATACCACTGATTCAGTTAAATTTCCCACTGAAAACAATGGACAGTTGTTTGAAATCGTTTAACTATAAATAAATATTTTTGGTTTACCTTTAATTGCATAATCTTCGTCACATCCCGGAGCAATTGCAGTACATAACGATTTCGGAGAAGGGATGTGGTTATACAGCAAATGGGAAATATGATATTCGTCGTCTGTGATCAGAAGCGAATTTGGTTTCAGAACTCTCGAATGAATTTCTTCTGTAAATCGATGACACAAAGAACAGAATGGTCCAGGATGTGCGGCTGCCAATGTGGAAAAGTATCCAAACAATTGGTCTTCTGTGATGGAGTTGAAATCAGAAATTTGATTGTTGCAAACTTCAGATTCCCGCTTCATATAGTACTGAAGTTTGAAAATGTTGCGCTGATTGTCTCATTGAAAAACTCACATGAAGTGTCTTCATATACCATGCAAACGGATCTTGATCTTTCGTTCTGGTAACATATACGTTTTTGGGATTGAACTTCTTTTTTGTAGTTCTCTTTTCTTTTTGTAGTGTTTCTTCTGGTGCATTGGTAGATGGCAAACCAGATGATGTAGATCCAGCAGTTGCAGGTGAGGAATTTTGAGTGGATCCTGTATTTCCATCTGTTGTTGAGTCAGATGGAGCTGTTGATGGAGCAGCTGTTGTCGGAATGTTAGTTGTTGTTGAACGAGTCGATGTTGTGAACATGGTGGCATTGGGCTGAGGACATGGAGGTTGATCATCTTTGATTTTAATAAGGTCTTGAAGTTTTGGAGAAAAACTGAAGCCTTCGATTGGCTGGTAAGACTTCATTCGATCTTTCGATTTGGTCATCAAAGAAACAAGACGATCAATTTCGCGAGACGCCAGAACGTCGGCTACGGTTTCGATACGAAGACGGCTATCACGAAGGGTCTGCTGGCATTCTTCATGCTTAAAAAAATTACACTGAATTTCTGGTTTTCATTTGGATTAAATTTTTTATTGATGTCATAATGACTTCATGTATTATACAATTTTTTATAATGAATCGGTCCATTAATTAAAAATAACAACTCTTTTTTGTACTCTTGAAGGCACCAGATTCACAAGATATCTCGTAAAACCGGTGAGAGTGGTTCCCAAACATTTATCTTTGAGCCAATTTATCTCGGTTCCATTCAGAGGTATCAAAAAATGTTCAACTGATAAATTTTTAATCATAAAATGAGAAGTGTTTTGTCTGTTGACACATTTTTAATATCTTGAATAAGGATTGAGATAACTGAGCTCAAACTTTACAATGTAGTTACCCTTGTTTTGTCACACAAACTTTCAACTTGAAGTCTATATATCTCGGACCATGTAAAAGATATCAAAAAGTGATTAACTGACAAAGTATTTTCGAAACTATGATAAACATTTTATCAGTTGACCATTTTTTATACGTTTCACAGGAAATAAGATATGTGGGCTCAAAGTTGACGGTTTGAGTGGATTTCTATTAGAGTGTGTTGGGGATACCATTTTCCACACAAACATTTTCAGCATATAAACATTAAAAAAAACTAACAAATCCTGCGTTTGCCAGTAAGGCAGTGGCTGCTAATACAGCTAAAATAAACTGCATGTCCAGTGTATTCAAAGTGGAAATATGTGCTCAGTGAGCCCGACCGGAGGCAAATGATATTGGAAAATAGTTGTCGTTCGTTATCAGTTCTGTTGAGTTTGTATGATAATCAAACACTGTGATTGACCACTCTTCTCTACTCTTTCTTTCATTTTGTACCTGAGTTTTATTATGCGAAGTTTTGATATGAAACTATTCAGAGGCAACGTGGATTTCAGAAGAAACACCACGATTTTTTTCTGGGGAAGAAGACACAACGATATCACCATAGTTTCTCCGATTCCGAAGAAAAAATAAAGAAAATAATGATGCGATAACCTAGGATACGATTCGACAACATGTCCGTTGCTAGGATGTTCCGATTCATTCGGCCCCCGAAGCGCCTCAAAATTTCATTTCATTCGCTTACAAGATGCGCGAAAGAGCCTTCTTGTCTGGTTTTGTACTGAGCGTCGTCTTGATTTCTCTTGTAAAACCAGGTAATATCCTTTTTTATCCAGAATTTCATCTATAAATTCAGAGGAAACTACTGATTCATCGAAAGTGGGAACCAAGAAGTATTCCGGACTACGTAAGTCCCCATTTACAGCAGAAATCAGATGATTTTAAGAGAGACTCTCCTCGTCAGGATCGATAATAATAGTCAGATAAAAATATCGTATTTGAGGCTTTCTGATCAATTTTTAATCATGGATCTTCTTGATTTCATGTGATAAGCAACTTCTGAGGCCTAGACAGTAGAATCTCAGAAACTCCAGAATACATTTCAAAAGATACCGTAAAACCTGTATTAGAAGGGGCGGCCCTTCTATTGTTTCAAGGTACTTCCGGAGGGTCCTTCTGTATTTTTCCATATATTTTTTCCAAAATTTTTCATCGAATAATTCGACTAATTTTTGCTCAAAATCCATGGAAAACTATCAATTTCACAAAAATTGAGTAATTTTTTAATCAAAAATAGTGTTTTAACAAATTTCTATTGAATTGTGGAATTCCCGGAATATTTTGAACTGAAAACGTTCTGAAACTTTTAATTTCAAAGCAAATTTTGAAGGGAGTCTTTTTTACAGATTTCTATTACGGGTGCCCTTCTATTAAAGGGGCCCTGCTAATACAGATTTTACGGTATTCAAGCCACAGGGGCTCCGATCGTCCGTCAACAGTCTGTCGACGGCCCGTTAGTTCTTCTTCGGCTGCCTACGTTTTCATAAAATTCTCGATACTGCTCCCTTTGAGATTTCAAACTATACTAGTTGATCAGCGTTGTCTTCAACGGATTTCTTCCAGTTCTAATAATAACTTTATAAAATTCATCTAGTCAGAGGAAACCAAAAAATTGCAACACCCTCACAAAGGGTCTCGGTCAGAGTCTGCGACAGAAGGAGGTTGGGACAGTATTTTCGCACTTCGAACAAAATTAAAAATTCTTAATTTCTTTCCACCATTAAAGATGTTTTCTCGAAAACTTCTAGAAAGAAAATCCACTTTCAGTGTTCGACTAAAGTTGTATTTTTCTAGGACTTAGTTTCTCCCAAAAAGTATTTTTTTTTGCAGCTGACACCTGTACAATTCTCGACATATATTCGAAAGCTTCTTCGGTATGCCAAACGCTGGAAGAAGTATTATGTAACTGTTCTGTTTCTTCTGACATTCTGGAGACAACTGCTACAACCAAAACTGCAAATACATCAACAATATCTTCCGAAGTGACTAAATGGTTATACGTGTATACCACTATAAGTTCTCCATACGAACCCATTTATTACGAAAACGATACACATTGTGTATTCATATATAATGTGTACTGGAATAACCGGACTTCACTTTTAACAACCACCCAATCTTCATTGGAAATAACTGTTACTGCAATGCTCCCTCATTCAACAAATTCTAAGAACCCTACAACAACTCAAATGTCTTCTGGAAATTCCGGAGGGCAAATTATCGACGTTGAAAATAGAATAACGTATTCAACAGTCAGTTATTCATCTACTGGTAGCAATGGAAATGGAATCACAACATCTAGGAAAATCGATGAAGATGACGTCAGTCAAATCTTCACATCGTCAACTACAGGTTCTTCTAACATTGAATCATCTTCTCCATCACAAGGGGTTTCCATTTCTGCTCCGGCGTCATCTACTTCGAGTTTTGACCCGGGATCTTCTGGTTCATACAAATCTACTTATACTACTCGTTCGACGGAACTCATCAAAGATTCTTCTACCACATCAGAACTTCGAGATGGATCAATTCTATCTTCCAGTACTGCTGATCCATCAACAATTCCAATATCCACAACTCCTTTGTCGGACTCGGGAGACAACTCGTCTTCAAGAGATCATATAACAACTACTGTGGATCCATCCTGCTCGATTAAATGTCCAGATGGCTACATAATCGGTTCATCCCTCTGTTTCTATATTGCTGATGTATCGAACATCAAATCTTATCAATCGGCACTGTCTTACTGTCAAACTGTGAACCTTCGGAACTTGATTTCTTTGGAACATCTTCGTAATCTGAATGACCTTCAGATTCTGCGAACGAAAAGTAATGTTTTGCAATCGACGACTTGGTTCTTTGCAAATGGAGGAGGATCTGCCCAGGAACGATTTGAGAAACAAGCTCAGGTATTCGATATCAACATGTTGACAGCAATGACGTCACCGATTGCAATGACAGTTGGTATATCTTATTCCACTTCGAACACATCTGCAATCTGTGTCTTGCCACGTGGGTTCGACCTAATCTAACTAAGGATAACCCGGGGCTTTCAGAGTACTGTAATCTATCCCCAATGTTTTGTGGACTCTGCATTAAATGTTTTCGAATTGAATGCCATCCTCAGTTCATCAAAAGAAATAATTGACTCTGCTTCGAAAACAGAGTACAGTTTTTTTCCCTAATTCAATGGTTCAACATATTTTTCAGAGTAACATGTTCCTATACAAAAGCTGTCACCACTATGTCATGTGGTGTCCGTGGAAACATGATGCCGAACCCAACAACAATCAGTTGTGAAGGTAGTCCAAAAAATCCAAAAAGTTGAAGGACATAGGTATATAACACTTTCAGATACGGAGCAGCACAAAAACTACAAAATACAACTGCTCAGCTTGTGGAAAACTGCTCGATGTGTTACAAACGAGGAACAGAAAGTTGTGAGGAACAAACGGATGAGAATGGGAAAACTGGATTCAAATGCAACTGTAAAGGCTCATATTCTGTTAGTAAAACCACTATTCAACTTGCTAGGAAACAGTTTCAAAAGCTTCCAGATGAGCACATGCTGGTACACTTCTGATGCTTGTACTCCGGATACTTGCAATGGACATGGAAAGTGTTCCGATACTCTTGGAGACATAAAATGTGATTGTGACTGGGGCTACGAGGGAGGATTATGCGAAGTGAACAAGGATCGAGTCTCTAATACAACCGACGCATTCTTCAAACGTCTCGGAAATTATATATTGGATTTTCCAACTATTTATGCTCTTCAAACTAATACTTGGACGTTTTTGACAATTTTCGCCAAAACGTTGGGAAAGATTTATGTATCAAATGGAGAAGATGTAACAGTGCAGCCTGATTGTGTCAAAACGTTTCAATTATTTTCAGGATCCCCAAGAAACTCATCAAGCAGCTAGAGCTTTCTTCATGACACTTGGCACATCTTGTGTTTTATTCTTCAACGATCCGTATCTTTTCAAAATTTCTCAAGCCACATGTCGGATGTTCTTCATCATGATTCACTTCTGCTTTATGGGAGGTATACCTGAAAAACCGTTTAACCATCACCCCTCACAAATCTTTCAGCAATGATTCAATGGATGCTTGAAGGGTACAATGCCAATCAAGTGGTCCGATGTGTTCACTTGAACGAATGGGAAAAAGATTTCAAATTTAGAAAATCATTGGGGATCATGGCTGCTCCGAGAATGAGTTTCCCATTGATTCTTTTGGCTCTTGCACTGGCATTGGTTTTTAAATCAAGTGCATTTTATACAAAAAACTTTTCATACCTAATTTTAAAACTGAATTCAGACTGGTACTACCTTCCATCCACTTGGACTTGTCTCGGAGTAATTTGCAATCAAACTACATCTGTCTGGCTCTCAGCTATTTGGATTGTTCTTTGTTTGGTTGTCTCCACTGCTGCTTTTGCAGAATCCAGTGTCTTACTAACATAGTATATCATACGCGTATATTTTCTGTTAAACACCAATTCAATTTCAGCCGTCGTCCTTTGTACAACCTGAAAATCCGTCAAAGAATTGAGAACAACGTTGGAATAATTGATGGTTGGGTTGCAGAGAAGTGTCGTCGAAACACAGTTCTGTGTTTCATCGGAGCTTGGCTGCTGTCAATTACTTGGCTTTTTGCTATTCTGGCTTCAGATGAAAGGAGTAAATATTTCTTTGGATGGTGAGCAAGCATTTTGAACTATACAAAAAATAAAAAATTAAAAGTAAAAATCCCCCAATTCGAGGGTATAAGGTTCTTGGGTACAATACTTCTGAGACTTCTGGATACGAGGTACAAAATTGAAAAATTGTGTTGTACAGGAAATCCAGTCGGGTGTTTAAAAAATACAACTTAGGGGTGCAAAAGTTGTAGGGAAAAGTAATCGAAACTGAAAAAGGATTACTGTAGGGAAATAATAATCGAAAATGAAACGATTAATGTAAGGAAAAATGTTAGAAAATGAAAATTATTCTTGTAGGAGAAAAATCGAAAATGAAACGGGTTACTGTAGGGAGAATATTAGAAAATGAAAAGGATTAATGTAGAAGAAATAATCTACTTTCTGTATACTGTTAATAGCAAAACTATTACAGGACATTGACAGTTGTTTCAACACTATACGGATCATTCAGTTTCTTCCAAGGGCTTTATACGGACCCAAACGTAATTTTCTAACTGTCATAGTTTCTATCTTTAAATAAACTTCAGACATGGTCGACAATTTTATGGTTTGCTATGAAAAGATTCCCTGCTCGTTTTGCTCCAAACTTTGATCCGATCTCCATGTGGACTCGTGAAGAAGTAAACGAACTTACGAAACTTCCAAAGGATCAACAAGAAATCATGAAAGATCAAACACTTCCTCTCAACAAACGTATTTTCTTGCATCATAAATGGGATCGTTTGCTCAACGAAAAATTAGAAAACGGATCAGGTGTCGAAGAAGCCCTTCTTGAGATTCTTCGTGGGGAAATGAAAAATCGCCACGTTTTGTCAGGATCACCACTTCTTAAAAATCAATTACAAGAAACATTCTCTGAATTCGTCAAGTCTGTTTCTGAAAGACCTCCAAGAATGGATTTATTGGGAGTGAATGCAAAAAGTGAAGCAGTTACTTTGTGTGCAGAGAAAGGAGACGGAAGTGCACGAGTTGCCAAATTCATGTTGGTTCCAGATATTGATGTGTTCAAACCAGCAGAATTCTATGAAGACGCCGTGGATGTAGACAAGAAACGACTGGAAAATGAAGTGGATAAGGTCATTGGGACTATTGAATTCAATAATTAATGGTTTTTAATTTTCAGGAGTGCTACAAAATTGCAAGAGAAGAAGCTGTATCGCAGAACAAGTTTATGAATTCGGCGATCAAATTCAAGTTGGTTATAATCACGAAATTAAAAGTTAAATTCTAATTTTAGGTACTATGGCAAGATAAAAGAATGAAAATCTATCAACTGCTTGAACATTGTAAAACATTGAACAATCTATATGGTCTTGAATAAAAGCTTGTGTTAATAAATCACACCCTTTAAATACAATCCGGTTTGTGAGTCGGTTTCTAACTTATTCAACCTCCACATGGCACGCATTCAGAGTGGCGCAACAAACAGTTCTTCTTTTTTTTTCATTCCGAGTTTTCCAGGACAATTTATCCAGATGTAGCAAGCCTTTAAATCTCCATTAAACGCTTATATAAAAAAGACATTTTAAGCCCTTGACATTTATGAACCATAAATTGTTTTTACTGGACGAAATTTGATAAACTTTTTTGCTAACATTATCAATCAAATGTTTTTAATCCATCGGGAGTTCCAATTCAAAACCACCCAGACATCGTGAATCAATCTAAGAATTGCCTGGAATCGAGTGAAATTTGTGATGAAAAAGTATCAGGAGAAGCTCCAGAAGTAGAGACACCAACTTCAGAGGACATTCAAAAAACAGCTCCGCTCAAAAGGTCTCCCATGGTTGACATAAATCAATCGAAGTGCTGTACAAAATGTTTTCGGACCAGTGAAATGTGTAATGAGGCTAGAAAAGAGCCGAAATTGACGCAGAATACGCTGGAAAAGTATGAAAAGAAGGCCAGAAGAACAGAAGAAGAGGAGATTTAGATGAGAGAAATGGAGGTTGAAATGAAGAAAATGAAGAAGGAAATGATGGAAAAATAGTTGGAGATGTGAAAGAAAGACACAGAGATTGAGGACCTGAAAAGAAATGTGCTGAAATTGGAAGCAAAAAATGCAAAAATGCAGTTGGCAGAGAAAAAGTGAGAGAACTTTCAAACATCAAAAATGTAATAAGTAATAGTTTCAGTCATTCAATCAGCCAAAGCGAACTTCTCGAAAAAATTACAAATCTTCTTTCGCATCAATTGAGAAACGAAAAAGAGAGAAACGAGTTGATGGATCTACAATTACAGCAAAATGAAGATGAAAATGGAGACTCACGAGAAGTAAAGAGGTTTTGAAGAAAAAGACTTTGATCTGAAAATTGAAGTCTTTAAAGTAACTTTTTTTAGACCCTGTATCACGTTAACTGACATAGAATCGATTCAAAGGGACAATCGAAACCTTCGAGATCAAATTGCTTCGACTCCAGAAGCTCCGCCCACTCCACCAGTTTCGAAATCTTTTTCAGATGGACAACCAAACCATCACAGATTTGCACTTTTCAGGTTCCAGATAAACAGTTTAAACAGGCAAAGGAGATGATTGAAAATTCTTTAAAATATTATGTACCCTAAAATCTCAAAATTTCAGAATGAAATCCTCCTCAGATCTTGTCGAAATTCATTGAATCTCCGATTATGAATACTATTAATTCGAAGGAAAACTGTTGACATATACAAGAGAAGTGGAATTGAATATTCAAAGAATCAAAGACTAACTTATATTTTATAACTTATATTTTTAAATTATTAATTTTCAGTGCGCTTCGAAATGGCTCAAAATCAACAGATCGTGTCCAAACTGTCGAGAAAGATTGTTGGATCCTGAGGAGTTTCCGAATCTTGGTCAATGATTTATTTCGATTTTACTTGTTGTTGTTGATCTCTTGTTGTTTTTGTTGTTTCTTTCAATTTTCTGGTTCACTTATTTTCTGAATTCATACTTTTTTCCATTTTTCTGGTACTTTCTTGCAATCATCTTCATATATGAAACACTAGAGACGTCTGTTGGTCCTGGTAAAATATATTTTTCTAAATGCTTTTTGTTCCTCCTTTGAAACTTTCTTTCGGCATTTCGAAGTTCCGATTCTTAAAATTCCAGAATTTTCTGTCGCAAAAATGGTCGAAAATTCTCAGAAACAGCTGAAAATTTAACTCGAAAATCAAAAAGATATTTTTGCTTAGCTACCGTAATCTTAAAGGCGCATAGTTTTCTTGCGGTGGCTATCATAACGAGTGGCGCCGCCGCGGATGATTGCATTTTTCAAATTTAATTCTAGGTGTTTTGACCTCTATTTTGAAAAATTTAGCCTGATTTTCGTCTAATGGGGTACCCCCGTCTAATGGTAATAACGTTATTCAGGGAGTCGGCAAAAAAGGAAAAAAAACTCCGCGAAAACTCGGAGAGTGTTCCAATCTGGCTGAAACTTTGGGGAAAACTGGAGAAAACTATAGGAAACATTTTGCCAAAGTTTGGGGTCAAAATATCGACT